TTTTGTATTTAAGCAACCTCACCACTGTTGTAAGCATAGCTGGCATGGAAGTTAGAACCTGATTCTGAAACTCTAATAGCATCAGGCCACTGATTTCAAAGGGGTTAGCTCCGGGAGTAAACAGTACAGGCAGTCCCCCGGTTACGTACAAGATAGGGACTGTAGGTTTGTTCTTAAGTTGAATCTGTATGTAAGTCGGAACTGGCGTCCAGATTCAGCCGCTGCTGAAACTGACCAGCGCTGACTACAGGAAGCCTGAGGCAGAGTTGCTCTGCCCCAGGCGTCCCCAAGTCAGCCGCTGCTGAAACTGACCAGCGCTGACTACAGGAAGCCTGAGGCAGAGTTGCTCTGCCCCAGGCGTCCCCAAGTCAGCCGCTGCTGAAACTGACCAGCGCTGACTACAGGAAGCCTGAGGCAGAGTTGCTCTGCCCCAGGCGTCCCCAAGTCAGCCGCTGCTGAAACTGACCAGCGCTGACTACAGGAAGCCTGAGGCAGAGTTGCTCTGCCCCAGGCGTCCCCAAGTCAGCCGCTGCTGAAACTGACCAGCGCTGACTACAGGAAGCCTGAGGCAGAGTTGCTCTGCCCCAGGCGTCCCCAAGTCAGCCGCTGCTGAAACTGACCAGCGCTGACTACAGGAAGCCTGAGGCAGAGTTGCTCTGCCCCAGGCGTCCCCAAGTCAGCCGCTGCTGAAACTGACCAGCGCTGACTACAGGAAGCCTGAGGCAGAGTTGCTCTGCCCCAGGCGTCCCCAAGTCAGCCGCTGCTGAAACTGACCAGCGCTGACTACAGGAAGCCTGAGGCAGAGTTGCTCTGCCCCAGGCGTCCCCAAGTCAGCCGCTGCTGAAACTGACCAGCGCTGACTACAGGAAGCCTGAGGCAGAGTTGCTCTGCCCCAGGCGTCCCCAAGTCAGCCGCTGCTGAAACTGACCAGCGCTGACTACAGGAAGCCTGAGGCAGAGTTGCTCTGCCCCAGGCGTCCCCAAGTCAGCCGCTGCTGAAACTGACCAGCAGCGGCTGAATCTGGACGCCAGTTCCGACTTACATACAGATTCAACTTAAGAACAAACCTACAGTCCCTATCTTGTACGTAACCGGGGGACTGCCTGTACTTGTGTAAATAGGACCTGTCACATCAGACTCTTGGTACCCTGATGAAAGTGCTACATAATAGTTTGCATGAGGAGATGCTTCGTTATAGATAGCTTACCAGATCATACCACTTGTCACATTAAAAGGAATTTAATTAAACTTGGATCTCATTGCTTCAATCATAGAATACTAGAACTCGAAGGGATCTTGAGAGATTAAGTCCAATCCCCTGACCTCACAGCAAGACCAAGCATCGTCTAGATCATCCCTGATAGATGTCTATCCAACCCGTTCTTAAATATCTCCAGTGATGGAGATTCCACAACCTCCCTAGGCAACTTTTTTCAGTGTTTAACCCTGATAGGAAGTTTTTCCTAATGTCCAACCTAAACCTCCCTTGCTGCAGTTTAAGCCCATTGCTTCTTGTCCTATCAGAGGCCAAGGTGAACATTTTCCTCCCTCCTCCTTGTAACACCCTTTTAGATACCTGAAAATTGCTATCATGTCCCCTCTGTCTTCTCCTTTCCAAAGTAAACAAACCCAATTATTTCAGTCTTCCCTCATAGGTCATGTTCTCTAGACCTTTAATCATTCTTGTTGCTCTTCTCTGGACCTTCTCCAATTTTTCCATGTCTTTCTTGAAATGTGGTGCCCAAAACTAGACACAATACTCCAACTGAGGCCTAATCAGTGCAGAGTAGAACAGAAGAATGACTTCTTGTGTTTTGCTCAAAACACTCCTGTTAATGCATCCCAGAATCATGTTTGCAAGTGTCATAATGTTAACTCATATATAGCTTGTGGTCCACTGTGACTCCTAGATCCCTTTCTGCCATGCTCCTTCCTAGACACTCACTTCCCATTCTGTATATGTTAAACTGATTGTTCCTTCATAAGTGGAGTACTTTGCATTTGTCCTTATTACACTTCATCTTATTTACCTCAGACCATTTTTCTAGTTTGTCCAGATCTTTTTTCATTTTATGCCCTTCCAGCATGACTGTGAACCATTAATAACTACTCTCTGAGAATGGTTATCCAGCCAGTTATGCACCCACTTTATAGGTGGCCCCATCTAGTTTGTATTTGCCTAGTTTATTGATAAGAATATCATGCAAAACTGTATCAAATGCCTTACCAAAGACTAGGTATATCATGTCCACTGTTTCTCCTTCATCCACAAGACTTGTTATCCTATCAAAGAAAGCTATTAGATTGGTTTGACATGATTTGTTCTTTACAAATCCATGCTGACTGTTCCCTATCACCTTATTATCTTCCAGGTGTTTGCAGATTAATTCCTTAATTACCTGCTCCATTATCTTCCCTGGTACAGAAGTTAAACTGACTGGTCTGTAGTTTCCTGGGTTGCTCTTATTTTTCTTTTTATAGATGAGCACTATATTTGCCCTTTTCCAGTCTTCCAGAATCTCTCCTGTCTCCCACGACTTTTCAAAGATGTTAGCTAAAGGCTCAGATACTTCATATATCAACTCCTTGAGTATTCTAGGATGCATTTCATCAGGCTCTGGGGACTTGAAGACATCTAACTTTTCTAAGTAATATTTAACTTGTTTTGTTTTAATTTTATCTTCGAAATCTACCCCATTCCCACTATCATTCACTATGGTAGGCATCCTTTCATCATCAAAATTCTTGGTGAAGACTGAAACAAAGTAGTCATTAAGCATCTCTGCCATTTCTAAGTTTCCTGTTACTGTTTCTCCCTCTTCACTGAGCAATGGGCCTACCCCATCCTTGGTCCTTGATCCAAGAGGAATCCTAGGAAGCAAATGCAGAACACTAGAATATGTCCTATTCAATAACCTACTTGTAAAGCTTTCCTGATTATTATTTTTGGCTGCTAATAGTTAGAGATAGCATGGTTATCTTCACTTTTTTAAATATACCACTTACTAGACAACTTTAGAGCATTTTAATTTTAGTGTTAAGTTCTTTATTTCTTAGCTGTATATCTGCATTACACTTGGCTTTAATCCCTTAAAGAATTACTTTCTTTGGCAAAACAGTGACTGAATTGGGTAGATTTCACTGTAGGAAAATAGGTTTGAAAAACCAAAGTGATGTCTATGTCAGCTCAAATCCACAAAGCTTAAAATACATCACAAATGTGCTTGTACTTTAAATCAATCTTTCTTCCTCCTTTTTTACCGTTGCTAGAAAAAACATAGGTTCATTACAAAAAAACTCCCAGAAGAAAATGTAAAAAGGTAGGCTGCCATTTATATGTATTTTCTTTTCATGTATAATCACTCAGTAAACATAAAAAAATGAACAAAATTTGCAATAAGCACTGTAATGTTTGTACTTCAACCTCACTCCAGGTCTTCCACACTGAAAAAGAATGAAAACTTGCCTAAAAAAGAATGTGGTGTTCATTTGAGAACAGTAGGGCTAAAGGTGTAGGGGGCTCCTTGAAATAAAAAAAACCTGACTTGTTTCCATATATATATATATATATATATATATATATATTTACCCTGCATATATAAATAAAAAATTCTTGCAGGACAAGGAAGTAACATCATCAGGTCACCAGCATCATCCCACCCCCAGCCAGAGTTTTGCTCCAGGCACCTCCTCCGACCCCCACCCTCTTCCCTGGTGCTCCAGGGAGGTGATGGCCTCTCTTCTTCCCCAGTGCTCCTGGGAGGCAGGAGACGTGCAGCCTCCTAGTGTTAAACACGCCCCTGCTGTGTATGGTGCTCCCTGCATCCTGATCCTGATCACCCAAAACCCTGGGGCGGCAGCAAATCCATGCTTGCCTTGTGTGCTGGGGGGAGTTTTAAATGTTTCTGTAGCAGGGCCGGCTCTCAGCATGAATCCCCATGCCCCCCCCAACCAAGAACTCATACCCTTAACCTCCTCAAACTTCCCTGTCAAGACCCCTGCTAGGGGCCACCAAATGGAACTAATGGGCAACAGGTTTAGAACAAATAAAAGCAAGTTCTTCTTCTGACACAGCCCATAGTCAATCTGTGGAACTCCTTGCCTGAGGAGGTTGTGAAGGCTAGGACTATAACAGGGTTTAAAAGAGAACTAGATACATTCATGGAGGTTAAGTCCATAAATGGCTATTAGCCAGGATGGGCAAGGAATGGTGTCCCTAGCCTCTGTTTGTCAGAGGGTGGAGAAGGATGGCAGGAGAGCGATCGCTTGATCATTACCTGTTCGATTCACTCCCTCTGGGACTCCTGGCATTGGCCATTGTCGGCAGACAGGGTACTGGGCTGGATGGACCTTTGGTCTGACCCAGTATGGCTGTTCTTATGACCCTGCATCCTAAACCTCTCCACTGAGATCCCGCACTCCCACCTTCCTCACTCAAACCCCCACAAGCTAAGAGCCCACAACCCCAGCCCACTCCTGCACCCTCCCCCTGGCCAGACACCCTGCCTCCAGGCTGCTCTTGCACCTTCCATACATCTACCCCTAAAGAGAGTAGGGGTTGGTGAGCATAGCTCTCATGCTCTCTGGCCATGAAAGCTGCAGAAGAGAGGGGGGTTAGCAAGCATAAAAAGTGGGGCACACAGACTCTAGTAAACACTTAATACTGAAATGTATAAATATACATTACTGAAGAACAATTCAAAGAAATCAGAGGTTTGCTGGGAATAGATGCAATACAAGGGAACAATAACATTGACAGGTAAGTGTGCAATAAGAAAGGAAGAAGCAGGTTATTTTAGGAGCCCTAATAAACTCTTCTAGTTCTACAGGAAGATGTTTCTATAGTTACAGTAAAAGAATGAATGTTCTGCAAAGCAGTTTTGGAGAGAAATCTACTGAACTATTTAACCAAGATTTACCATAGCACTGCAACTAATTACCCACTTTTTTTAACAAAATGATAAAAAAAAATCTAAAACGAAGGAAACACACCACCAATACCTGCACCAGGAGCTATTTATTAGCATAACACTCTTCTTTTTAAAGATTTAATAACAACTGAAGTATATACAAAGTCTTACAGCATTTACACAATAAAAAAGTTTCCTATTAGCTGATGAAGTATAAGGTAGTGCTGCAATGTACTTCAAAGCATGAATACAATAATAATGAAGCAGACCACTGTACTTTAAACTTCTTTGCTATCACACTGTAACTGTCAATTGAAATGACAGTTAGTTAAACCATTGGGAAGACAAAGATTGTCAACAAAATTGTAACAGACTGACGTGCAGCACTAACCATCGTAAGGGAAAAAAGCTACATACTGTCATGTTTTCTACACTTTTCTAGAGCTGTAACAAACTTTCACAGCCTTAGATATAACATATGCAAGACAACATAATTACAATTTTTCAGATATAGTTCAGCTATCAAGTGTATTTACTTCTGAACAGGAGGTTTTATACTGATATGGCTGTGTGATTCCATTTTTTTTCCCATGAACTGTTCAAACAAGTCTACAAAAACTTAAAAAGACAGCATGGAGTTTGTAGTCCTGATGTGCTTGACTAATAAAGGCATTCAAATATCAGCTATAGGATCTAATCATTCCTGTCAAAAGTTTAAGACTAGGAATCTTTCTTTACTAAGACAACAAACAAAAAAGAAACCAAAACATACCAAAGGAACATACAACAGAAGAGACATTTCCATCAGTCAAATTTCTTTGACACCTTTTAACCTCTCCATCAGTGTAACACAAACCCATTAATATTTTTACACTGAGTCAAACTCAAGACTCATTTAGGCTATGAAAGGTCAAGCAGATTTGCTAGACTATTTTTGCTGTAAAGGTCAGGGAACTTAGAAAATGAAAATTATCAGACCCCAAACACTCCTTTAATAAAAAAAGGATTCATATATTTTAACAAAGGATACATTATAATCTGTAGCTTAGATACACTTTTATGTGAGCCAATAAATCCCACTCCACAGAAGATCACGTTTCTTTGCCTATTGTACGTCTAAATCTCGTATTTTGGTCAATTTTGCCTTTTCTTTCAAAAGGATTCAGTTTCAACTTAAAAGCTAGTAATGTCGGTTGACAATATCTGTATTTAAGACACCAAAACATGAGATACAAAACTCACAAGGAACTATATAAATAACGAAGAAGCCATGTAACCTTTTAATGTAAACAATCTGATTATAACGAAGCCCTAATTAGATTCTGGTCTTAAACTTTTGGCAGATAATGTGTATGCTCAGCCAGGATTTGTAGTTAGTTATTGTTCAAGTGGAAGCCAGGTCAGTTCACATGTTGACAGGCATGCAACTTAAAAACATTGCACAACAAGCAACACAAAGAGATTTGAGAAGTGTACAAGACTTCAAGTAGACTTCACAACCCTTCACAACTGAATATTCACAGACAAAGATACAGTCCTTCCTTATTCCATTGTGGATTTCCTCTCACACATGGGACACTTTCTGTGACTCTCTAGCTTGCTTGATGCTATACAACCACTTGATGATTCTGGCATTTCTTTCAATTGCAGAAATGCCATATGGCACACGGTCATTGGCACTATCATCATTTCTAAGGTCACTGTTGCTGTCCTGAGACTGTTCACAGTCTGAGCTAATCATGCTTGCACTGCGAAAGTTGAGGGATATAATATCAGAGTTAGCCCTTGCAAAATTTTCCATCCCAAGATTTTCAAGCTCTTCAGGATCCAGTCCACAGTAATTAAAGAATCGTTCCACATCTGCATCAACACGAAAGTATCTGTCACTTAAGTCTGATTTTGATCGTTGAAGGGAGGGTCTTCGACTGACTACGCAACTGGATTCAACTGTGTCGATGTCTGGGGATTTCAAGGCGGCGACGGCAGTAATTTTGGGTTTTGGAGGCAGAGGTGGGGCTGAACTACTGCAAGGTATTGCTTTTAAGGGCTTACCGCTAGTTACTTTTCTAATGTCTGATGAGCTATGGGAAACGTGCAAGAAAGTCTCCGCTGACTGTTCTAAGAGCCTTCTGCTCACATTGGAGTTGCTTTCTTGAGGGCTACTCCGGCCCTGCGTGGGGTAGACCTTTAAAGATTCTGCAAATGAATGCCGGTTCAGCTCAGCTGAATCAGATCTGTGGGGAGGCCAGTTTCGTGAACTATGTTTGTGACCTGAACCTGAGCTGGAGCCTTCAGAGCTATTAATGATGTTTTTCAAAATCTCTAGTTTTAAATTCTCTCTCTGGACACCACTCTCAGTCTTTGCATTGTTGTTGAACACTTTCAGGGTAGGGCTACCCAATGCTCGCTTGGCAGCAGGGCAAACCGGTGGCTTTGCAAGTACTGCTGGCTTTACAGGCTCTTGTTTGGCATTGATGACCTCTTGGCTCTTTACATATTTTGCCTTATCAGCTTCTAGTCTCTCCACAGCACTAAGTCTTTTTGGATTAGGCTCTGCCTGCCTGCGGAAATAATCCGGTCCTTTGTTTAAGATGCGAAGAGGAACGGCAGACGTGAAAGTGACTGCAGGACTGACAGGTTTCACCATGCTACCTGTCTGTAGTGTTTCTGTAGGCATGTTTGGTGGTCTTTCCCCCGCAGCCGTTTTGGATTCTTCTCTGGGAGCTTCTAAATGCACGGTGTAGAAACATGTACATTAAGCACGATGAAGAGCAGATGAATCTTGGAATCAGAGTGTTAGCAGCAGCACCTCATTTCACAGCTCATTAAATAACACTGTTTCTTTTTTTAAAGGCAGCCTTTGTACAAAAAGGCCACCAGACACAAGTCCATATTAATCTGCTCTGTTGATTCCTTTCTTCTCGCTGAAAGATGTGGGAGTCTCGTTGTTTTCTTTGTGCTCAACTACAGGCAGTGATCTGAAACATAAAATAGCCAACCACATATTAGAATCGGTGTGTGACATCACAGCTATAGCAACAGAGAAACTGTGTATACTCTCTCTGTGTTACTGGCTGAGTTACAGCTGTGGGCAGTACAGAGAAAACAGGCAGTCCTATGAAACATTCTAACAGGCCTTTGCCGAGTGGCATATATCTTTTTGACAGACTACGCAAACCTGAGTTAATTATTCTTCATGGATATTTCCATGCATGTATTAGAATGCATTTTTAAAGTAAGATTTTCACTATTAACCACAATCTATAGTTGTGTTTAAGAATATTATAACTGAAAATCACTGAAAAACATGCATACATTTATATATGATTGTCTGCATTCACATTTCCATGTCTTATGCCATTTCTCTTGGCTATGTTTGTGTTACATTTCTTTTTTTGGGAGGGAGGGGGAAATGGAAGGAACATGGTATAGTATGTATATGGGAGGGAATGTGTCAATTTGGGGGAGCTTATGCAGTCTCACCTAAACACAAGTGTACTGATAAATTGGGGCTAGTGAAAGACTTTCTCCATTGATAACAGTGTGTTTTAAACTAGCTAATTTATGTATATGTTTTATCTTGAAAGATAAAAAACATCTTCAGGATATATTGCCCATCAAAATAAATTTTTAAAAAATATCAATGCATTTTCCTTCATATTTCTTTACATTAAAGTCTCAGGAAGTTTAGAACAGTTGCAAAGCTAGGAGCCAGTGGAGAGCTGTAATGAGTGAAGTGCACCCAATAGGCTTTCATCCACTATCCATAATTAATACATAGTCTAGCAAAAGATACAAATTACACTGAAAAATCTGCAATAACCTAACTCACTGAACTTTGATGAATTTACTTACTAAAAAGTAAAATATATCAGAGCCTTCAATTTATCATGGGTAAATTTGGACCACTTATTTATGAGTCTTGAATGTGTATAATTTCTGTTTCTTAAATTCTGACACAGTTGTTCCAGTATTAAATAGGATACTCCGGCTAACTGTGGGTGAAGTTTACATGATCTGAATGATAATATCATATTCTATCATTTAATTTGGTCAAACCGGACCTAAAAGCCCAACCTTGATAATGTTGTTTCTAAGGGCTTTAACAATTCTTCCCACATAAAGCACTCAAGGGCACTTACCAATGAATCTGCTTTTCAAAGCAATGATTTGGTTAATGGATCTTATTTGCTTTATTACTGCCCCTTGAAGATGTGCTGGCTTTTTCAATAACCCATTTCTCTTATCGCTGAAATTATTTTTTATAATTTTATATGTATAATGAGCTTATTCACCAGTATGAAGAAATGCAGGCAAAAGCCTCTCCCAGAAACTGAGTACTTAAGTATATTTTAACATGCCAGGAACTCAGTACTCTTCCATCATATTATTGATAAACTGAATTATCATCATCCTCAGTGTTTAGTACTCAGCTGAATTACTACAGAAAGCTAAAAGATTAAAATTAAAGATACAACTGTTTAAAATATTCAGGAAAAGAGCAAGTACTTGTTCGAGCAGATAAATGATAAAGACATTGAGCATTCTGCCTAAACCATTCAAGGTCAAAGCAAGCAAATAAAAGTATATCAATTCTGTAATGAGATTATAAGAAAAAGATGAGCTCTCCACATAAGGCTTACTGTCAGATGTATTCTCCAAGTACAAACTAATATGTTTGGTTGGGTGATAAAGCAGACACAGTTTCAGTCCAATAGAAAAGGCAGTGTAATGTTAATTAATTATCTCTTTCAGTGTTTTATAAATCTCAGTGTTAACCTCTCAGCAGTTTAACTTCTATTTCAAGACGGTATTTCAGAAAGATGAAAAGTTTTCTTCCCTCGTGGAATCAAAATAGTTATGAGTCTCATTGTTTTGTCATTAGGGATCAGATTTTCAAAATATGCTGAGCAGAATTGTGTGCATGCACTTGTGTACACTTATGCATGCAAATACCCAATATGCATACACATCAAATTTTGTGCATTTAATCAGTTTAGGGCAGGGGTATCCAAACTTTTTTCAAAGAGGGCCAGATTTGAAGAAGTGAACATGTGGGAGGGCAGGGTCAGAGGCAGGCGGAGAGCGCAGGGCACGCCGGCCCCACGGTGGCCCGGGAGCAGGGCGAACCCGCAGCCGAGCGGGGCTGCGGACGTGCCCTACAGGGCAGGCTCTAGGACCGCGGAGGCGGTGGCGGCGCGCTGGGCGCGCCAGTTCAAAAGAGCACCAGGGAAACAGGAGAGGGGGAGGAAGCGGGGGCCGTATTAAATCGGAACACAGGCCGCAATTGGCCCGCGGGCCGGACTTTGGACATGCCTGGTTTAGGGCTTAGTTTCTATATATTTGTACAAATTTCTGACTGGTATGTATTTGGTGCATCCAGGTTCACAAATTGGGCACACACAAATTATGAAAGAGCATTGGACATAAATATCACAAAGAATGATAATATTTTACACTTATAGTGCTTGGTCTTCAACGGCTTTAAAAGTACTCAAGAAAGCATGACTACAACTCCCACGTCCCTTCACTGCCATTAGGCCACTATGATCATGCCTCAGACGGTAGTCTGTTAGCTCCATTCTCCTGCTTGGGGAGCAGATCGGTGCAATAGTATGGAGACACTCTGGTTACTGAGAGAAAACAAAGCATCACAAGCAAGATTATTTTGGAAAATCTGGGCATACATGGCACCCCCCCACTATATGTCCAAGATATTTTCCAAAAAATGGTTGTGTAGTGAAATGACGTAAAGCAGGGAATTGTCCCCACAGCTGATTTCCATTTGCGCAAATTTTTTTTGGCGCAATGTAAGAGCAGGGAATGGGAGGACCTCTAATGCAACAGTTCTTACAAGAGTCAATGATGTTAGCGTGGAACCAACGTCTACTGGGATGCCCTGTACCACTTAGTCACTGACTTAGAACAGCCCCAATGAAAACCAGAGAGCATGCTGAGCACCCAGCACTGACTTCAAATTAGTAATTTAAAATATTTAAAAAGAGAACAGTATGATGGTGTGTGTGCAACTAAGTAAGGATGGGCACAAAGGGACTGATACAAAAGCTCTCTGAAGTCAATGAAAGGCTCTGTGAATGGAAGAAACAAAGCCAGCCTTACTCGATAGTTTAAATTGTGCTACTGATGTTTTGTACTTAAATATCAACATAAACTCAGAAAAATCTACTAGACACCTCAAAGTCAAAGAACTAAGCCTGCCACTCAAAGGCAGTTACAAAAGATGGTTACTGAAATTTCTACTACCACACTAAGTCCACAGCCTTTCTGTAATGCAAAAAAATATATATAAAACAAATCAAAATTGCAAATACTCTCTAGTACTATTATTAGTATGACATTACTGCACAATCTTCAAGTTTACTTTTCATATATACCACTATATTCTAAACAAAAAGCTAACAATGTTAATTGACAAAAAGAAGAACATTTCATTTCCCTAAATCTCTATTGTTCACCTTGTGGAGTGCATTATTTCCACATTACACAGGTGGCATAACCTTTAACTATGTTTATATGAAGTGCATTGACAATAACAATGCACACCGAAATAATGTTAAAATTGCAGCACATCAATAAAAGCCAAGGGAGAAAAATCCTGGCCTGAATAAAGTCAATGAGAGTTTTGCCATTGACCTCAATGGGGTCACAGTTCTACCCAATAAATGCTTTCAACACATACTGCAAAGGGTTGCCAGAGGGAGGCGGTATGAAGTAAAATAGCAAGAGATAAGAGGTGGACAGCTCTTGGCGGGGAAAGAACAAGTTAGGAACTATTTAGAAAAGCGAAACAAACAAATCCACGGGCCCAGTTTTAGTGCATCCAAAGGTACTGAGGGAGTTGGCAAATGTCATTGCAGATCCTTTGGCCATTATCTTTGAAAACTCATGGAGATCGGGAGAGATCACGGTTAATTGGAAAAAGGCAAATGTAGTGCCCATCTTTAAAAAGGGGAAGAACAACAATCCAGGGAGCTACAGACTGGTCAGCCTTACCCAAGTCCCTGGAAAAATCATGGAGGGGATCCTCAAAGAATCCATTCTGAACCACTTGGAAGAGGGGAAAGTGATCAGGAATAGTCAGCATGGATTCACAAAGGGCAAGTCGTGCCTGACTAATCTGAATAGCTTCTAAGATCAGGTAACTGGCTCCGTAGATATGGGAAAATCAGTGGATATGATGTACCTTGACTTTAGCAAAGCTTTTGATACGGTCTCCTACAATATTCTTGCCAGTAAGTTAAGGGAGTATGGATTGGATAAATGGACTGTAAGATGGATAGAAAGCTGGCTAGACTGTTGAGCCCAACAGGTAGTGATCAACGGCTTGATGTCAGGTTGGTGGTCGGTTTCTAGCAGAGTGCCCCAAGGATCAGTTCTTGGACCAGTTTTGTTCAACATCTTTATTAAAGACCTGGATGAGGGGATAGATTGCACCCTCAGCAAGTTTGCAGATGACACTAAGCTAGGGGGAGAGGAAGATACGCTGGAGGGCAGGGATAGGGTCCAGAGTGACCTGGACAGATTAGAAGATTGGGCCAAAAGAAATCTGATCAGGTTCAACAAGGACAAGTGCAGAGTCCTGCACTAGGGACGGAAGAATCCCAAGCATTATTACAGGCTGGGGACTGAATGGCTAAGTAACAGTTCAGCAGAAAAGGACCTGGGGATCACAGTGGATGAGAAGCTGGATATGAGTCAACAGTGTGCCCTTGTAACCAAGAAGGCTAATGGCATATTAGGGTGCATTAGGAGGAGCATTGCCAGCAGATCCAAAGAAGTGATTATTCCCTTTTATTCGGCTCTGGTGAGGCCACATCTAGAGTATTGTGTCCAGTTCTGGGTCCCCCACTATAGAAAGGATGTGGATGCATTGGAGAGGGTCCAGTGGAGGGGGACCAAAATGATTAGGGGGTTGGAGCGCATGACCTATGAGGAGAGACTGAGGGATTTGGGCTTA